TCCATATGTTCTACCGGGCCCTTGCATTCTTGGCAGTGTTCCAAAATCAGCTCGGGCAGAGGGTTTTGTACCTGCGCATTCAAAAATATGCACGCGTCCGGCGTCGCTCCGTCTGCTTTATCACGTGACACAATCCGCCGGAGTAGCTAGTACCTCTTTGGGCAGGATATCGAACACAGCCCTTTTCTTTCCCGTTTCCGGGACCTGAAGAGCAGCGGAGGCCTTCAGGCAATTGACCGGAGCGATTGACCGACAGCCAACAAAGCTTGTTAGTGGCTCTGCGAACCCAATGTGATCAGCATGCTCAATGCCTTAGTGGAGGACACGGGATAAATTTGACGGAAGGAACTTTACCCCGGCAAAAAAATGAAGGGAAGTGGGCCGCTGTATGACTTTTGCTGGAGTCGTGTCGCCTCACGATTTCTAAAGCGTACTCTTTGGACGGGCCTTAAGGGAACCCTTAAACACGCGTGGCAGAGACAGGATAGGACTTACAATCGAAACCGCCCAACAAATCACGTATTAAAACATTATTATCTTATAACCAAAATCCGGTCTCTTGCACGTCCGTCTCCAGGGACTCTAAATTCGACGAACATAAAGATTCGATGAGTTATGCCATAATTAGAGAAGAGCCGAAACGTTGCAGCGAATTTCGATTGACTCGAAGATTCGAAGATCCGGCCAATCTTTGTACAAACTAAAAGTTAGCACAAATATTTTGCTGTTTTTTTTTTCTTTCAGAATTGAAAGTTACAAAAATAATGACAATCAAAACGACACACAAACAACGGCACTTCGTTTCATTAAAAACAATAATGGAATTCTGTATCCCGTTGCAGATTTAGTTACAGTCTGTTCTGCCAACTCGTTTGAGTAGAAAAAAAAAAGTTTAGTTTACCATCTCGATACACTGCTGTGTGTTTTTATTTATTCGCTTTGAAGTTGAAATGAAATTTCTTTGAGGTCTTGCACATCCTCCAGGGTGAAAGGTGGGGATGAATATGCTCTCAGTCGCGTTTGGATAGGTTACGTAAAAATACGCCGGTGAGTCAGAATGCCCGCTGAGACATCACTGTTCTTTTACAATTGAGACAAAGCCTGCTTAGGAAGGAAGATCTGTGCTTCGAATTGCTTTAAAGGGACACTGACACCCCCCAAAATATTTTTTTTTCATTTTTCGCCAGGTGCTTCATTATGGTGTCGGAGGACTACCCAATTAATATTTTGCAACAGATTAGCGTATTTTTTTAATAAATCCAAAAGGCGCAACTGCTCGAAACCGAAACCGAAACCCGACGGAGGTGGGAGAAGTGGAGTGGCGGAAGTCACGTGGCTACACCCGACCGTGCAATTTTTTTTTTTTTTTTCCTTCCTTCTCCTTTTTGTAGCAGACGACCCGCGGCGTAGTGGGAACTATTTGCCGCGCGATTCTTTTGAAGTTATGTTTGTTCCGCTCGCTGTTCTGTAGTCCAAGATGAGTTGTTTTGTACATTCAGGAGTTGGAAATGAGTAGTGAGTCCCCGTGGTGAATTTCCATGATCGGCTCCGAAAAGAATAAACCCAAGATGTTGCGTGAAGAGCTGGCTCACATGTCCTGCGTCCGAAAAAAAGTGGCATTGTGCGACAGAGTTTCCGAAAGATCAACGGGATCGGGACCAATGGCTGGCTGCAATTCCTGTAGAACATTTATAGGCACCTCGGAAAGCGGACGCTACCTGATTTATATGCCTCTTGCATTTCGTGGAAAGTGATTACATTGAGTTCGCAGGTGTCAAAAAGGAGATCCCATACCATTTATTTCAGCGACGTGTCGTCCACAACATTTGTTTGTTATTTTCTTGTTTGTTTCTTCAGTGATAATTATATATAAAAAAAAAAGAAAAAATGTAAACATAAAAAAATGTTTGAAAAAAAAAAGTTTCATTGGGGATCGATCCCGGTCCTACCGCGTGTGAAGCGAACGTCTTTCCAACTGAGCTACTCGGACAGCCTTTTGTTGGGTGATTTCTTCCCTTAGTAACAATGCAGCCGGTAAACTGTAAGTTGGAAAGTTTGCTGCCGATTTTCATCCAGCAAAAGCACTCCCGGGTCGAAATCGGGAAGCACCACGTATTGGCGACATAGTAAAGAAATCGTACGCGTGCATATTCAACCCGAAGTAGACCCGTCGCGCTTGGCGTTTGCGCGAGCGATGTCTTCAGCCTCGAGAAGGGAGCGACGGCTCGGCGGCGTCTTCGTGCAAATCGGCTTGGTGGTCGGGCGTATTGTAGGGGATGAATACCAATTCTTTTGATCAGTCCCAAATTTCTTTTTTAAAGGCAGACAGAATTCGCCGGTACCGCGAACGTCAGTTCTGAAGTAAAGGTCCAACGCCCGTCGTCCGCTGCCATCGCCGTCCCCGCGAGTCCCACGATACGCGAAACGACGCACGCACAGAATGCTTCCGGTTCTCTGTGCAACTTTTTTTCCAATCAACGTATTTGCAGCTTTTTAGAAGCCACAAAAAAGGGGTTTCATATTTTTTTCTATTTTTAATATTGAGTGTCTGCCTTCAGTGACCAACGACTTGGATTAAATACGGTGGTCGCTTCGATACCTTAGAAAACGGCCCGTGACCACAGAAAAGAGAGTGAGCGAGACTCGAACCGGCCAGTTCTTGATCGGCGGTTTTCGGGCGGAAAGAAACCGAATTTCGAGTCGCAAATTGTGTTCTGGGTAGTTGGGCTCTCATATGTCATGTACAACTAAAAACCTCGGCGGGCATAAACACCCTGTCAGTGTCCCTTTAAGGACAAGCTACTTCTCTAACTGGTTGTAAAGCTTCGTACAAAACGGTGATCCCGGTTACTTGCGGTCGCATCGCGACTCCTTGACATGGTCTCTATGGTACTGGCTCTACGGTACGGGCCGCCGTCTTTGTGCGATGCCAAGGCCATTTTGAGACATTAAAGATAGTCGCTACACAACCCATGAAGCACGACTCTCCTGGAAACTCTCCATTATACCTCGACGTAAGCGGTCTTAATGTAGGGCAATGCAGTTGTAATAACTATGGCGGAATATTTGTATAAGCGCCATGATGCTCATGTGAACCACTGAGAGTTGGGACACAACACTGTCCTTCTGGAGGGCTGGAAACCACTGCTGACTTCGTATGTTTGCCACTAGGAAGGCAAAAAGTGTTATTACGTTATGAGGGCTCTGGCTCATTTGCTTGCAGCCCTTCGCATATCAGTGGATTGGCATTTTCCCTCGTGCATTTGACACTCCACGTGATCGTCTAACTGAAGCGCAAGAGCAGACAGTTTAACAGGCGATGGTGCTCACCCGGACTACCAGCAGACGCTGCCTACTATTTTTGTATTCTTATCAAGAACCGTAATAAAAACAATCAGGCTCCTCGCGGGTGATTACCGATTTTCCCCTTAATGCCGAGAGTGAAACTATAAGTAGCTGTACTTTTGTTAGGCTATATGTTATCATATCAGAACATACGCGTTTCAGACGCCGATAGCATAATCTCTCCCAACAACCAAACCTTGTAGAAACTACTTTGCGCAGCGTAGGAACCAGGCACGTGACCAGGGGGGGGGGGGGGGGTGACCATGGGGCTTGCCCCCCCCCCCCCCCAAATTTTTCATTTTGCTGGGACCTTCTCTCCCCCCTCCTCCTCATACAGCATTCTGTCATGGGCAGGCCCTCCCCGATTTAAAATCTTGGTAACGGGCCTGGTAGGAACAACGTGGGAAACATACTTTTCTTTTAAGGTTGCAACGCGCACAGGTGGAATTGAATCAACTCGGGTGGAATACTAATACCGCGTCATGGTTCGACAAGATTCGAAGTCAAATTATCACATGCTTCATGCACAAAAAATGTCGTTGACTAATGCCGCTGGGTATGGTTTTGCAAAGGCTATCGTCTTGAGCGATGGAACACAAAGTAGTACGGGAAGGCACTCTCGGGACGATGAAGAACAAGCGACTCTGCAAGGAACCAACACGTTTACTGCAGCGTGTGTGCTGAGAAACTAAGGGAGAAGAGGAGAAGAGAGCGCACGGGCAAATCAGAACGCCGAGTCCTGGTTCGAGTGATTAGTGGGCAGATAAAAAGCTAACTGCCTTTGGCTTGACTGTACTCATCGAACGCGGTCGAACGCAAGAGCCATAAGGCGGACGCCAGCGCTCCACGTTCCAACGCGTTCGATGAGTGCAGTAACAAAAAGGCAGCTCGACTTGGGTCAACTCCAAAATCGTTTCAACGAGAGCTCGGAACTGCGAAGTCCCCGTGCGCTCTGGAATCCTCCGCTTTTTTTAGATGCGGAGCATCTCTTGCTCGGGTCTATGTCCCGCGGCGTCGTGGTCCGCACTCACACTACGCATGCGCAACTCTCTGCCTTCCCTCTCTCCAACAGCTGCGCGTTACCCTCTCCGCTCTCTCTCTCTCTACCAGCTGCGTGCACTTGGCGTGCGTTCGCTTCTACTCACACCGCGCGCGCATGCGCAACTCTCCTCCTCTAGTCTTCTCTCCTTCAAGTGTGAATATAAGCAGCGGTAGCGCGCTGCGCGTTCAGGGGAGGAAGTGGCCAAGTGGGCTAACGCGAGTCAGCTCGAAGCGTAGAGCGAAAGCTTCCGCTAAGAACCTCCTGGTTCGATCCCCGCCGCCTCCGCCCGTTTCGATCTGGATGAGTTTCGTACCGACACGCGTTCGTGTGATCACTACTGCGTGATGCACGTTAAAAAACCCAGGTTAGGGGTTGTACTGCACTGGCTAAATTTCTCATCTACAGCTAAGAGAGACCGATTACCCGTTGAGGCGCATCTCCATCGAGGCTGCATAAACATAAAGAGCAAACCAATTTCTACGCGCATTCAGTTCACCGCTGTTGTGTGATGGAACGATGCTCCGCATCACCCCATGGTTCCCCTCGGGAAGATGGTGTAATTTTTTTTAATTTTCTCGGCGCATTCTTTGAATCTGGGACGACGTGGCGTCCGTCAGGCGTGGGTCGCAACAACGTCCTTTATGGCCTTCAGACGCCTAAAGTTTCCTTCACCACACATGTTGGCGAAGTCGTCGTACTCCACGTCGAAGGCGGCGATCCCTGATCCGTGGCTTTCCAGGAAAGTGTCGTAGAAATGCTCTGCCTGAAAGGACCACGAAGCCCGATGATGTGATTTGCACTTCAATCTACGGTGCCTGAAGGAACGCGTGTCCAACCGCTGTGTTGAGTCTCCTATTTCGCCAATGTACCGTAAATGGTCTCGAAAGGGCAGTAAAGTACGTCAAAGAATGCGGAGTGTCATGGTATCGGATGTCGCGATCTAGGCGGTTCAACGCAGAAGTCTCACAAAAAAGCGAGGGGGAATGCGATGGTCGTTGTCGTCGCAGTGTCCCAGTTGCTGGCTCTCCAAGCTTCCTTAAACGTTGAAGCCGGAGAGCGACCTGCAGCAGAACGAAAGTCTTCCACATCCACCACCGCAGTTGTAAAACCGCCAAGATCGCGGCCGGCGACAGCACGACCTTTCTATGACGTCATCAGAGAGAAATAAAGAGACCAGCTTTTTGGGACACAGTAAACACACCAGTCAGAAACTCGTTTCAGACACCGTACTTCAGACAAAAAAACCTGATCGATACAGTCATCGTCACAAGCATCAGCACCCAAAAAATACTTGGGCTGTGCATTTCTATTACAACAAAAAATCTCTCATTTTATTTCTGCTGTTGAATTATTTGTAATTGCACAGTAATGTTTCGGTAAAACAAACCCCGTTAATAAAAAAACCTCGCTTTGTAGACAGCATTTTTGAGGACGAACTTGGGAAATGTAAGGGTTATTTTCTCGCTATTTTGAGTATTTTGATGAAAAATATATCAGTGCCTTATTGCAGAACGTTGTGCTGCGTTTTGACGAGCCATCACAGTTTTATTACATTCCAATAAACCCAATTGTTGTAATTAATTTACTTTTGAAACTCAGTAAATCAAAGCGTTTGGCCGAGATACACTGCGTCACTCCGGCGTGTTTTAATTAGAGCATGTACTTTGGGCTGAGCTTCGCTCTACCTCTATAATGAATCACACATGTGAATATAAAAAGGTCTGAAGATTTCTTCTAAGCTATCTGCAACTCTAGCCCAGCGCTTGCCTTCTCGCGGACGAAGGGAGAACCACAATAAGGAGGACATCGGTGGGGAGTGTAAGGCTTGTTAGTGCTGTTACCTCATGGTGCTGGCCAGCCTATTCGTACTTAATGTTGTTTTAACGATAACAAAGTCGGTGCATTAAACTAAAAATGCTATTTCACTCTAAAATTCTTTCTACGAATGGACCAGTTTGTCTTATTTTTAGGTGGTTTCTCGTAGATCCTACGCTCTGGATTGCGGCCGGAGTATCAATCCGTTCTTACCGTGACAACACGGGTTTTCTGCTTGCAGAGCTAAGCTCTTGGGTGCAATCTACGGAAAGTGATTGTTTTTTTTCGAAGTCGGTGAAAACCGTTCGCAAAACGGTGGTTACAAAGATGGACGTTGAAGAATGCATTTGCCTTTTGTATGTTTAAAGGACAGCGCGACCAGAAACATGGCTGTTTGATTCAATCATTTCCAAATGACAGAATACTTGTTCCAAGATAAACACGAAATAAATATATAAATGCTTCCGTAATTTTTAAGTCCGTCTTTGTTACAGACTCACTCGTCAATATTCATTCATAGGGCAAAATCAAAACACTGAGACATAGTACACAGGGATGTTATTTTACATCATTGTGCCTGAGGGTTTAGATAATGTTGCTTTCTAATGATCTCGCCCGCATATCTTTGGCGCTTGCGATCCTCAATACAGGCAGTTTTTGCAAGGCAGATTGCGACATATTCAATACCACGAAATTTATAGGAATATTCGTTCGATAAACCAACCAATCAAATGCCGAAACCTAGCAATAATGTTATTAGTAACTGTGACGCAGATTGACCACACGTCGCAATGCAGCAAAACCGAGCTGGCGGGACCGCTAACCTCAGAGAGAAACACCAACTATGAAAACTTTGCTCTTCATGACGTTGGCGGCCACACCCTGTGGTTCACTATTTAGAGCAGTGGATCTTAAATGGGGGTCCGCGGATGTTATGGGGTCTGCGAAGGAATTCTAGGGGTCCGCGAAGCTCTGCATCATGGGTAAAGCCCGGCAATAAAAGTTGTCTTTGTTGTGGCAGCAGCTAGCGCCACGCACCTGGTGGCTGCTAGTGGGGACAGAGCGCAGGCGGCACGAGACACATGGAATGCCGGCATGACAATCTCGTCTACGGGCCACGCTGGATCGCTCCTGTTGTTTATATATTTGTGTAAATATAAACCTGTAACAACTGGCGACGAGGAGAAAGGTGAGTGGACAGTCTTGTTCTATGCCGGGAGAGACGACATAGCGCCGGCGCCATGCCGAAGTTGGAAGCATTTACTGAAGAGGGCGGGGACGCGTGGCAAGAGTACATTAAAGTTTTGGACCAGCACTTTATCGCTCACATAATGTCGGCAGACAAATGTCGTGCAGTATTCCTGAGTTCGTGCGGAAGACCGGCGATTCTCTGCTCCGGAGTTTCGCGGCACCCAGACGCCCAAATGCAGTTCCACTCATCGAAAATTTAGAGCTGCTCACGGATCATTGTGCTCCAAGACCACCCGGGATTGTCCGACGCTACCACTTCTATTGCCGAACGCAGAACGAAGGTGAAGCAATTAAGGATTTCATCGTCGAGCTGCATAAGCTGCCGGATCCATGTGAGTTCAGTCGGGAGCTAGACAACAACCTAAGGGACAGGCTCGTCTTCGGCATTCGGAGCGACCTAATGAGAAGGAAGCTTTTGGAGGAGCCCGAATCCACACTGGACCGAGCCGTACAGACTGTTTCGAGCACGAAGGCAGTGGCCAAGGGAGCGGAACTAATGACCGGCCAGGCGGCAGAGACGACTCTGCATCGAGTATCGAGAGCCAGGGAGGCGGCCGATGACTGTCACGGTTGTGATGGGCGGCACCATGAGTCTTCGTGCAGATTCCAAAAGCTGCAGTGCTTTTCTTGCCTGAAACATGCGGCTAGTAAATGTCCGTAAAAGCAAAAAAAACAAAAAATTTGGAGGACACGACGGTCACTGGCAGACAACATGGCGGCGAACGGGCGGGAAACAACGCCCGACGCACCGTGATGGCGGTGGAGACAGCGTCCGTCGACGAGACTGAAGGGACAGACGTCGACCGCCTGTGTTTATTGGAACACGGGTCGGCGGGGGATGCTGTTGTCCTGGCGCAAACCGAAGTCGTGAACGTTCTGGAACCACGGGTACCGCCCTTATGTGCTACAGTGACTCTAGGTCAGATGCTGCGCATGGAAGTTGACACGGGGGCCGTCTACTTGGTCATGGATGGCGTGGAGTTCAAAAGGCGTTTCCCGACAGCGACTCTTCAACAGTCCTACGTAAAGTTGTGGGGGTACTTGCGACAACAGGCGGCGGTTGCCGGGAAGGCTACGGGTTCGTGGGAAGGCACGCTCAGTTACCTTTGTTCGTGTTGAGAGGAAGTCCCGCGCCCCTCTTGGGAGGAATCGGGCGAAAACTTTTGGGCATGCCGCTCGACAGTCTGCAAGACGTCCACCGCGTCGACGGTGTAGAGGATTGGGTGGTGAATTCTCAGAACTGTTTCCGGAGGGATTGTGTACCCTTCGTGATCTGTTGGCCAGGATAAATGCACCTGAAAAAGCCAGACCAAGATTTTTTGGCCAAGAGCGATGCCGTTCGCACTTCCGGATTTGGTGGCGCGCGAGCTCCAGCGGTTGCAGCGTGAAGGCATCCTGAGTTAGATGCGCAAGTCGGAGGGGGCAGCACCGCTGGTTCCAGTTCCGAAGAAGGATAGAAAGATCCGGCTGTGTGGAAACTTCAAGGTTACCGTGAACTAGGTGGCAGACTTTGAGACGTACAAAGTGCCGCGGGTGGAAGAAATCTGGAGTAAGTTGGCGGGAGGTTTGAAGTTCTCAAACTTATATCTCCCGGACGCCCACCAACAGGTAAAATTATATGATGCATTAAAAGAGTATGTAACTATCAACACCCAGCAAAGACTTTTCCAGTATAACCGGCTTCCCTTTGGTGTGGCTTCGGCGCCTGCTAGGTTTCAACGGGAGATAGAAAACCTATTGGAAGCTAGGTTATCACTAGCTGGTCGTCTATTTTGATTATATTCTAGTGACGGGCGTGACAGAGGAAAAATATCGCCGAAACCTAGGAAAGGTATTTCGTCGTCTAAGGGGGTGTCCAAACAGGACACTACAAAACGCACGACTCCGACAAATCGTTAAAATTGAAGCGGACGCGCCCGCTTCAAGCCTGCTTCAATTTTCACGATTTGTTGGAGTCGTGCGTTTTGTAGTGTCCTGTTTGGACACCCCTTGAGCAGTGCAGGATTGAAGCTGAAGCGGCAAAAGAGCACTTACAGGGCGTCGAGCGTCGAGCACCTGGGCTATGTTATTGATAAGGATGGCCTGCATCCGGCACCCCAGAAGGTCAAGGCAATTGTCCAAGCACCCCAGTCAAAGAATGTATGTAAACTACAAAGTTACTTGAGTCTTCTTAACTTCTATCGAAGTTGTTTGCCGAACTTGTCATCTGTGCTGCATCCGCTGCACCAGTTACTCAGGAAAGGAACATCTTGGAAGTGGGTCGTGAGCAAGCGGCAGCATTTGAAACCAGTAAGCATTTGCTGACGTCTGCTGACGTGTTGATGTATTACGATGCCAAGTTGCCGATGCTACCATGTTGCGATGCGTCGCCGTACGGCATTGGAGCAGTGTTGGCACATCGAATGCAAAGTGGTGCTGAACGACCTGTGGCCTTTGCTTCAAGGAGATTAACATTAGCAGAGAGGAACCACAGCCAGTTGGACAAGGAGGCTCTGGCGGTGATGTTCAGGGTTCTGAAATTCCACCAATACGTCTGGGGAAGGTTATTTTAAGTGTTTACAGATCACAAGCCATTGTTGGGTCTGATTGGGCCCGATTGCCACATTGCGCTGCAGAGTCCACCCCGGGTTACGCGGTGGGCGTTAACGCTGAGTGGCTACAATTGAATTCAATTCAATTCAATGTTTTACTCAAACA